GGAAGGGGGAGGGGGCGGGGGGTCACCACCGCACGCCCCTCCCCCACGGCGTGTCCCCTGCCGCCCAGCGTGCGGCTCAGCCTGGGCCTCCTGCCGTCACCTCGGGGGACAGTGAGCCCACCCATGATGCTGGTGACCGCCACACCAAGACCCATCCGGCCCAGGGGGCACCACGATCGACCCCATGACCTCCGCCTACCAGTGGTGTCATGGTGGCCACGGCAGGGCAGGGACGCCCTGTAGCCCAGCCCCCACCACAGCGTGAGGGACCCTCACCCCTCCCCACGGCTCAGACCCCGGGGGCGGTGGCTGGGAGGTGCTGAGGGGCAGGGAAGTGGGCACGGCCTCGGCTGCGCTAACCTGTGGACTTGGCCTTGGCGCCGGCCTGCATGGCACTGTCCTCGTGGTCGATGGGCTGGCTGGACAGGGAGAAGACCCAGATCTCGGCCACCTTGGCTGGCGCGTCCTTGACGCTGCTGCACAGGCTCAGCACCTGGCCGCCCTCGGGGGGGCGCTGCATCACCTGGGGGGCGGCACGTTCCAGAGACCACGGGGCGAGAGGACACGGGGGCACGGGCCAGGCGGGCAAACCAGGAGGGCGCACATGGGGCTGCGCTGGGGTCAGTGCCGGGGTCAGTGCCAGGGTCAGTGCCAAGCTCGGCCGCCGGGGACCGGCTGTCGGAGAGGAGGCCACAGCCGGGGGCCCCAACGGCAGTACATCGCGTGCAGGCGGCAGCCCCCAGACACGGCCCCGGGCCACGGACCTGACCACGTGTCTGAGGACCACGGGCCTGGCCACCCGCCTACGGCCCTGCCCAGCCCTGCACCAGGTGGACACCCAGAGCTCCGCGTCCCCGACACCCTGAACTCAGCCCGGGACAGTGAGGGCCTCGAGGCACGAGGGACACCAGGGCTCTGCTGCTCCTCCCCCAGGACCGGAGCTCCTCGGCCTAAGGGCTGCCTCCTCCCGCACCCCGAAACCAGCCGCCCGGCGCCAGGGCCCCCAGCACAGCTGGGGCCCCTGCTCAGTTCCGTGTCGACACAGCTCCCTCGCTTCCTCCCGGGGGCTTCAACGTCACGTCACCGAGCCCCCCCCACGCCACGCGCCCGGGTGGCCCCCGTGCCGGCTGCAGCCCTGTCCTGCCGGACCCATCGCACCCACTCGTGCAAAGCCGGCCTCGGCCGAGGGACAGGCGCTGGTGTCCGGGGCCGGCCGGCCGCCTCACCTCGGCCATGCTGATGGCGCCCGCGGCCAGCGTCTTGTAGCCCAGGATGGTCCGGTTCTTGTAGCGTTTCCTCCTCTGCAGCATGATCTGCAGCTTGTTGCCCTCTCTCTTCAGGAAGTGGGGGTACTGCAGGGGAAGGGGCCGCGGCTGCCGTCCACGCTGGACCCCCGCGGCGGCCCCCGTGTACCCAGGGCCTGGGGGTCGCCCCGCAGAGCCCCCAGAGGCCCGGCCCTCATCAGGTCACCGCGGCCCGTCCACACTGAAGTGCTGGTGGCGGGCGTGCGGTGTGCGGAGGGTGCTGGGCGAGAGCTCTGGCCGTGTGCCCCGAGGGGCCCGCGGCACCGGGGCCGGCCAGGTCGCCTGCGTGGGGTGCGGCAGGGGTTCTGACTGCGGAGCTCGTGTGCGTCACGCACACAGCCACCAGCTCTTGGCGAAGTTCACGTGTGAACTCTGATTTCTGAGGTGGGGCGACGGGACCGACCTGCACCTGGGCAGACGCGCTCACACACCTGAGCTCGCTGCTTCCCGCTCACGGACCCACACACTCAAAGACGGTGAACTGCACGCTTTGCAAACCCCACTCCAAGAAGAAAAACCAACACCAACCCCAGACACGCTGTGCTGGGCGGCAGGGCCGGGGTCAGAGTGCCCGCCACGGCCCGGTCCGGCCCCGGGGCAGCCCCGCACGAGGGCGGGGGGCGGACAGAGAGGGCGGGGCTGTCCTGTCCTGGACGTCACCGGATCACAGCCGCCTCTCACACTTACGGTGAGAAAGCAGCTTTAACGGATCGGGACTCGACACAGTGTAACGCTCAGAGCGTGAGTCAAGCAAGAGAGGTCGCCCGCTCCGGCATCGCTTCTCACCACGAAGAGAAACGAGGCCTTTGGGTCGGCGTGGGGCCAACCTGGGCTCTGGACGGAGAACTCCGGGGGAGCTCTGTTTCATTCTGGGGGGTGCGTCCTGGTCTAAACTGAGGCACGGTCGCCACCAGCACACCCCAAACGACCCCACCGGGGTCTGAATGCACAAAGCGAGTGTCCACGCAGCCCGTGGACGACGCGCCTTAACCGGGCGACACGCATTTGCGGCCTCGCGGCCTCCCTTTACCACAGGGATGGCACGAGAAACGACCGGGCAGCCGCGGCTACGTGGGGCTGGAGACGGGGCCCACCTGCAGCGAGAAGGTCAGGGCCAGGTCGGTCTCCACTTGTCCACTGGGGGGCAGCACGATCTCGTGGGACCGCAGGATGCGCTTGGAGCCCTGGGGGAGGAGGACAGTGTCTTGCTCAAGAGGGCGTCGTCAGGCGGCCACAGGGGGACATCCTCACCTCAGCGCCCTCCAAGCTCAGGAGGAGCGGCCGCGGCCGAGGGGGCACCAGCTCCCCGGGGCGGGGCGGGGACGTTTGCCCAGAGGCCCTGAAATGCCCCCGTCCTTCGAGCTGCAGGCCCTGCTCCAGACGTCCGCCCAAGAACCGAGAGCAGAGGAGGGGACGGTCACTGTGGGCTCAGTGACATGCAGCACGGCCCTGGGAAGCGCGGTGCGCTCCAGGCCGGGCGTCCCTGGCCACCCCGCAGACCACCACCGTTGCAAGGGCAGGGATCAGCGGACGTCGGCCGAAACCCACGCGCACGCGGGAACCAACAAGCTGGGCGTTCCTGAGCCTCGGGTCAGGAGGGGCCGTCACCACCTCAATGCCAGGACACGGACCACTTGCCCAGCCCCGGCCTCACACCGAAACGCACACCACGTGGTCACAGATGTGCGTTACAGCCCTTTCACACAGGGCCGTCCCACTCGGGGCCTCGGAGCCCTTGTGCCAATGCAGGAGGCCGGGCAGGACACCGGGACCCCACGCCCGTGGGCCCCAGGAGAGGTCAGGGGACAGGTGGCTGCAGGGGCAGGGAGAGGCAAGGCTGGGGAGGGGTGACTCCTGGGGCCTTTGACCAAGACGAGGGTGCAGAGATGGGGGAGGGTCCAGGACCAAGCCGGAGCCATGAGCGGTGCGGGCGTGTGAGCTGAAGGGCACAGGTGCGGGGGCGCTGACCACAGGTGTGGGGCTGGCCCGCATGGCAGTGTGATGAGGCTGCTGGACAGCCTGCTGCCAGAGCCCGGTGCATGGTGCCAGCTGCCGGCCCTGGACCACGTCTACACCGGGGCCTCGGTGCCCAGCGACGCCTGGCCCAGGATGGAGCGATGCAGCACGGCAGGGGTGTGGGCGGCCCCTCCCCGCCATCCTCCTGCACCCCTCCCCCCCCGCTTTCCCAGGGCAGGTGCCCCGTGGGGTCGGGGCTCCCCACGCCCTGGCCGTTCTCTTTTGTCCCTCATAGCTGTTTCCCCAAATTCCTAGGACCTCTGAGCCCACCTTGGAGCTGCCTCTCGCAGGACCTGCACTGAGGGCCACCGACTCGAGTGACCACACAGACTCGAGTGACCACACAGAGTCCGGTCACCACAGACTCCAGTCAACACAGACTCGAGTCACTGGCAAAGGCCAGCGCGTTTGCTCGCTCTGGGAATTCAGATGTGAGGGCCTCAGCTCGGGTGAGGACTGAGAGGACAGGAGTAAGCCAAGCACAGAGGAGGCACGTGGTGGGGTGGCCTGGCCGTGGGCTGTCCTCCAGCACTGCCTGGCCCCTGGGACGCAGGTGCAGAGCAGGCGGATGGCAGGTGACCCGGACAGGAGAGGGCGCCCAGGGAGCAGCAGCAAGGACCCGAGCATCACGGGGCCCAGTGCTGGGGGGACGCTGTCCTCGGGGTGGGGGTGGGGAGCAGGCAGCCAGTTGCTGGGGACTCTCGGAGGCAAGCTGGACAGGCAGCGTGGTTCCCAGGGCCTGGGCCTGACCCCAGAGATTGCCTCAGTAATGAAGGGTCCCAGAGACGGGCAGCTGGAGGAAGGGCGTCCAGGAACGAGGCCACAGGGTGGGTCGGTCAGTGGTGTCAGAGGTCAATAGCCCCAGATTCAGAAGCCAGGGACGGGTCCACTCCCATCTCGTTCCGAAGACCGGCCGAGACCATGACCCCAGCCCAGCCTGGAGCCAGCGTGGGGCGCCTCCCCGCAGCCAGGCTCAAGGCCTCGCACCCCTGTTCTAACGCTGAGACAGTGTCTTCCGCAAGGAAAAGCGTTTCTTAGAACTTTATTTAAAAGAGCAACATTTTTGCGGGGGAAGCAACTGACTGGAAAAATTAGGCGGCCCAATGCCACCTCGCCCTCAATCCCAGCTACGAGGTGAGTCCGGCTTGGCGGGCCCAGGGCCTGGAGCAGTTCCTGCAGGCCCAGCCAGGTGACCCACGGGCTGCTCCCGACTTCCGCCCTCTGCCCTCCGCCTGTGGGGCTGACAGTCTGGGGTCCTACGAGGACAGGCCCGGACAATCCCAGGTTTGGAGGAGCCCATGAGTGGTGCTGGGGGGCACAGGGAGAGGCAGAGCCCACACACGGCCTTGCGCCTGCCAGGGACGCTGTGAAGGCCACAGGACACGCCACCTGGGCAGCGCCCATGCTGGGGAGCAGACCTGGGACCCACTGGCCCCCACGAGGCTCACAGGGCCCTGTTCTCCTTGGCTGGGGCAGTGCGGAGGGCGGGCCTCTCTGCAGCAGCGGCTCGTTCCAACCAGACGGAGGAGCCTGTGAGGCTGGGGGTTCACGGCCCCGGGATGAGGGGACGGGCTGGCGGGTGGGTGATGGTCGCAGGGGCAGGGCACGGGAAAGGCCCACCTGCGGGCAAGCTCAGCCCCTCTGAACGCAGGGCTGCCGCCCCTCAGGACAGGACTGCGCCCACAGGGTTCCAGCCGGCCAGAGTACAAGGGCCGGCTCCGGCCAGCTGCCAGACAGAGGCTCCCCCGCGCCCTGGACAGAGCCCCACCCCCGCACAGCGAACGGTCTGGCTGCCGCTGGGGTCGTGTCCTCCCGTGTCCCGGGCAGCTGGGCGTCCTGCACGGCCCCAGGACGGTGGCGAGGGACCCTCACCTGCATCTTCACGGCGACCACCACCGAGATGAGCCCCTTCTCCAGCTCCTGGAAAACCACCAGCTTCTTCAAGGTCAGGCTGCACAACCTGTGAGGGGTGGACTTGGCTCAGTGGCAACCACACCCTCCCACGCTGGACCATGGCCCTCCACACCCTTCCTCCAGGCCCAGGGTCACTCCTGTAGACTGGCCGTCACATCTCCCAGGAGCCCTGGCCCAGGCTCAGCCAGGCTGGGGGCCAGAGAGTTTCAGCAGGCGGGGTCCCCTCTCGATGGTGGAGGGTCTGTGCACAGGTAGGGGAAGGGTGGGCAGACCAGCAATGCCCCTGGGAACCAGGGAGCCACTGCTCCAGCTTTAAGGACAGAGGCCCCGCCCCTCTCGGCTGCCCCCTCCTGCTGGTGGGAGCTGTCCTCCACCCTTCACCCCCACCCTTCTGCTCTGAGCCACACAAAGCCACCTGGAGGCCACGCCCACAGTGTCTGCACGTCCCAGGACTGCGTGGGCGGAGGTCTGACCTTTCTGCAGCTGCTGGCACAGCATCTGCACCGTGGACGCCACCGCACACCACCCCTGCTCCCGTGCTGGCCCCCCCCGGAGGTGGCACACGGCCTGGTGCCCACACAGCCCGCCAAGGCGCCAGGACGAGGAGCCGGCCAGGGTGCAGCCCGGTGTCTGCCGGCCAGGGCCCAGGCTGCAGGCCTCGCTCGCGCTCCCGGGAGCTGGCTCGCTTGTCCACTGGATGTCAGAGGGTCTGTTCACAGGAACATGGCTACGTGAGGGTGACTGTACAACCGAAGTGCCACTGCCCTCCAGGGCAGGCTCCAGCGCCCAGACCACACCCTGCCATCTGCGCAGGGGTCCCGTCGGGACGTGCAGGGCTTCCGTGCCTGCCTGAGCTGTCCCTCGGTCCTCAGCATGCGCCCACACCCCAAGCAGCAGGACAGTCTCCGGACATGGCCGGGCCGCGGGCATTGCTGCCCACTGGCATCAAGGGGCCACGCTCTCCTACCCATGTGTGAGCACACAGACGTGGTGGGCCCTGCCAGCCGGCCTCTGTCTGCAACCGGCTGGCTGGGAGCCACACGTGAGGCAGGGGAGCTCGGGCACGGACACGGGGCCTCGGAAAGTCACGGTCACCACACGCGAAGCGGAGACCCGCACTGCTGAGTTTTCCTAGAGCCTGTGTCTGCAGCTGCTCGCCCTCAGGAGTCACAGGGCCACGCTGATGGCCAAAGTCGTCCACACCTTCCCTGAGCCCACATGGCAAGCCACCGCCCCGTCCAGCCCTCAACACCAAGCCACTGTCTCCCTGCCCTGCATGCCGGGGCAGCCAGCCTCTGTGCCCTGCGGCCCCCGGAGCACTCAGACTGGCCAGTCCCGAGCTGCTTCCCTGGCCCTGCCGTGCCCTTCCCACCCCCGAAAAGCACTGGCCGGGCCTGCCCCTCACTCCCTCTGCCCCGGCCGACCCACCTGTACGTCCCCGTGCGTCCCCGTGGCCAGCATGCTGTGCCCTGCCGCTTGACCCTGGGACACTGTCAGTGACATTCAAGTTTTCTTCAGTGGCACTGACCGCTCTGCTCCCCATCCTGGTTCGTCTTTGACGTCCGCCTGTCACGCAGAGGCACTCTGGCGCCACCTCCGTGACGACGGCATCGCCTGCACCCCACGGACCCAGAGGAGCCAGGACACCGGCTGGGGGGCTGCCCCAGGCAGCGAGACCCGCTCTGACACGGGCGGCCCCACGTGCGGGGCGGAGGCCTGTGCCCGCAGCCGCGTGTGACACGCACACGTACACGCAAGCACACGCGCGCACACACGCACACGTACGCACACGTGCGTGAGCGCGTGCGGCGCCGAGCGCAGCGTCACGTGGCCCCGCCCCTCCACGCACCGGCCGCATGGAGCCCTCGGGCGCCACGTCGCGAGCAAACCAACCGCCGGGAGAAAGACGGACCCGAGGAGCCGACGGGGACCAGAACCCGCCCCGGCCGCGGCCCCGGACGCGTTCGCAGAACCAAGTCACGTCAAGGGTGTTCTCTGCCCAAAACACGGTTCGCTAGAAGGGGGCTGGGGGGCGCCCACGGCCTGGGACACTCAGCAGCGCACCCCAAAACCACCCATAGGCCGAAGTGGCAGTCTCGACGGAAATCAGAAAGCCCTTGTGGGGGGCGGAGGGCGGGGACTGGAGCCGCCGGTGGGGGCGGGGCCGGGGGCGCCGAGCGCATGCGCTGGAGAAGGCAGGCAGCGGGCCCCGGAAGACGGCGGGAAAGCGGGGCACGTCCACCCAAATAAGACAGAAAGACGATGGGGAAAATTGCCCCAAACGCTGGTTCTTTGCAGAGACAGATAAGATAATAAAACCTCCAGCCAGACAAAGCAAAAAAGAAAGAGGGAAAACATGGCCAACACCAGAAATAAGAGAAGGGCTGTCACCCCAGAGCTCACGCGCGAGCGGACGGAGGGACCCGAGGGCCTGGACGAGTGCGCCAAGCCCTCGAAAGGCACAAGCCGCCCAGAGGCAGCGGGACGAGCAGACCATCCGAACGGTTAACGATTAGATGGAATTACCGGCCCCCCTGAAGGGGAAGCTGCAGCACATCTGACCAGACACCAAGGAAGAAGCTACGCCAATGCCACGTGAGATCCCCCAGAACACAGAGAGGAGGGGGCACTTCTCAGCTCATTTGACGAGTTGGCGATGACCTGACACCAACGCCAGGATGAAAACAGCACAAAGAGAAAAGTAAATGCCAACGTCCATTTGCAAACGTAGATTTTAAAGCTTCAACCAAACACGAGCAAACTGAACTCGGGCAGATAGAAAGGGAATGGTGAGTGGGGCCTGCCCGGGCTTGCACGGCTGGTCAGCCCTGGAGAGCCAGCCAGCACGGTGGCCCCGGAGGACAGGAGCCACCGGACCCCTCGGCCGGTCCAGACCTTCAGGCGAAGCTCAATATCCGTGTGTGATTAAAGACCCTCAGTGAACGGGGACCCCTCACGCTGACAGAGCGTGTCTGAAGGCCCCCAGCTGGCGTCGCCCGGCACAGCGAGGGACAAAACTATCCCCTACAACACGGAACAAGGCAAAGCCCTGCCACCACTCCTCCGGCCGCCCCGTGCAGCATGACAAGGAAAGGAAGTGCAGGCCGACGGTCGGAAGCGGGGGGAATGCCGCCCCCCGTCTGCAGACAGCATGGGCGTCCACGCGGAAGTCCCGGGGATGTAGGAAAAGTGGGAACAAGTGACCGGAACCAGCGAGCTCCGCAAGGCAGCACGACCCAAGTGCCACATGAAATGCAGCCGCAGTCCTGCACACCAGCAACGAGCCGCCGGAAGCCCCTTTCCAAAAACCTCCATTCACAGCGGCTCCAAAACAAACAAACAAAAATACCCAAATCTAACAAAACCGACGCAGGGCGTGCGCGCTGGGAACCGCCGCGAGCTGGCGCAAGGGGCCGGGGCGCCCCCGATGCGGAGCCCGCAGACGCGGCGCGGCCCGAGGAAGCCACAGCGAGCCTCGTCCGTGCACAGCAGTTTCCTGATTTCGAAACTGACGTGGAAAGACACAGGAAGCAGGACAATCAAAATAACCGGAAAGAGAACGAGGCGCGTTGGGGCCGTCGCCACCGGGCACGGAGGCTGCGGACCCACCGTGAGCGTGGCCGGCATGCTGCCGACGAAAGGGGCGGCAGACGGACTGACGGAGCAGAGCAAAAAACTGACGAATTGGCTTCATCCCAGCTTAAAACTCTGTGAAAAACACCGCTGAGAGTGAGAAGATGAGCCGAGAGCCGGAGAAGATGTTTGCAAATCACATATTTGACGAGGGGTTTTATCCAGAGTAGATACAGGACTCCCAAAGTCAACAGCGTGAAAGCCAACAACCCAACGAAAAACGGGCAAAAGATGAGAACAGCCGCGTCACCAAAGGCGCGGGCCGCGTGCAGGCGTCCGGGGAACGCAGCTTACGGCCACACGGCGTCGGCCCCCACACCGACCGCAGGCGGAAGCAACATACGGAACCCTGACGCCTGCGGCCAGGCCGGGTGTCCCTAGCGGGGACGCATGGTGTCCGAGGAGAGTCGCGTGGGTCACAGCGGTGCCGACGGGTCGACGGGTCCGCGGCCAACCTGGTGCCTTGCAGACGAGGTAGCTGCTGCTCCTGCTGGGCGCCACCCGGCAGCGGGCCAGAAGCCCCGAGCACCAGCGCACTCGCACGCTGGCCCGCGGACGCAGGTGCCGGGGAGCCAGTGGGCAGGTGGCGCCCATGCTGCTGGCCATTCATGTGCCACTGTCGTGGGCCCGAGAAGGACGGAGAGCCCTCTGCGGAGGGGGCTGGTCTGGTCTGGGTGGACTGTCCCAGCGGTGACAGGAATCGGATCTGAGCGGCCGACAGCACAGCCCGGTGGAACTTCACTATGAGTTGCACAAAGCAATTTTTTAAAAGCTGCGAAAGTCACGAGCCCTACAGGACGCGTCAGTGCAGAAACGGGGGCCTCCCTTGCCTCCTGCTTCGAAAGAGCCAGTTACAAATGCCCCGTGGCGCTGATCTGGGGGTAGAGGCTAAGATCTCAAGCTCTGACTTCTGAGGGTTTCTCAACCCCTATCTCTGTTAGTTTCCATCCCTTACAGTTTGGCGAGGGGTGCGTCTAGTGCTCGCTGTCCGCGGCATGGAGCCGGCTCTGGCCAGGAGCCCAGTGCACTGACCTCCGACGCGTCCTGGTCACGGGAACTCAGGCCGAGGGCGGCGGGAGCCGGAGCCCCTCCTGGCTGCCTCCCGCGTGCTCGCCGAGGCCCTGCGGGAGCCCACGTGCGCCTGAACGGCTTCTCGGGCAGGTCACCCAGGGCTGTGGGTGTCACAGCCACCGCATCATCCTCCTTTTGTACTCTAAGATGTGCCCAAGCTGAGGCCATTTGTACAAACAACGTCGAAAGCATGAAAAGGATCATCTGTGGACGGACAGAGCCACGTCAGCGGAGCAAAGCCATCTGCTTTTATCCAAGGCTGGTTCTGAAACAAAGGCCTGAGGGCTGGGTCCCCGATGGCCAAGGACGAGTCTTACACTTGGCCCTCGAGGGCATTGCAAG